CACTCCTCCGTCCCTTCACCCGTACAGCCACCGCCCACTCCTCCGCCTTCACTTTTACAGCCATCCTCCGTCCTTTCACCGATACAGCCACCGCCCTACTGCCTCCGCTCCTGTCACCGTACAGCCACCGCCACCTCCTCCGGTTTCTCACCGGTACAGCCACGCCACCTCGCTCCGCCTCCTTCACCGTACAGCACCGCCCAACCTCCTCCGCCCTTCCAGAGTACCCAGCCACACGCCACCTCACTCCGTCCTTCACCGTACAGCCACCGCCAACCTTCCTCGACCCTTCCCGTAGCACGGCCACCCGCCACCCTCCCCTCGCCCTTCACACAGCCTCCAAGGCCAACCGCCACCTTCGGCGCTCCTATCACTCGTACAGCCACCGCCACCTCTCTCCGCCCTTCACCCCGCTATCAGCCACCGGCACACCTCCTCCTTCCCTTCACCGTACCAGCCACCGCCACCTCCTCACGCCCCCTTCGCACCGGGCCCCCTACAGCCACCGCCACTCCTCGCCCTTTCACCCGTACAGCCACCCGCACTCCTCCGCCCTTCACGACGTACAGCCGCACCCGCCATCCTCCTCCGTCCTTCACCCGTCGCGAGCCACCGCGCCATTCTCCTCCGTCGCGGTTCACCGTACAGCCGACGCCACCTCTCCGTCCGTTCACCGCCGCGAGCCACGCTCAGCCACCGCCACACTCCTCCGCTCCTTCAACCGATTACAGCACACGACCCACCTCTCCGTCCATTTCACGTACATCATCCGCACCCGATCCCTCTTTTCACGTACAGCTGACGGACGCTTTCTAGTTGGATTGCCATGCATTTATCCTGTGCTTAAACTATATTTTGATTATATAAAACCATTATAATTGAGCCCGTTAAAAGAAGGTTTTGTTTTAGGGCAAACTTACTCGAGCGGGAACCTACGCTGATCCTTACTTCCGGCCTAGTCCAGTCGTTCATCTTATTAATATTACGATTTTCTTGGTCACATTATATATCGTTCGTTTAGACGTCTCCGGGGCCTTCTAATTCAATACATACCATCACTCCTTATACAACATACCGGGCTACTGCTACGAATACCACTACAGCTACACCTACGTTCCTATTACAATCACTTTATTCCGGCAACTTTTTGAGATGCGCCCCCATTTCACTCTCACGCTGGTCTAAGCGCATTACATAGACCCGGGCGTACGCCGTATCTTGTATCATTGCCTCTAACGCTTCACATTACACCTTACACAGGCCTCTCCGCTATGGTGAAGATTCGCAACGCGGGGCGAGGTCGACTCAGTGACCATCGAACGATAGAGAGGATCGACTACGTACGCTCGCCTCACCGATCGCCGAGGGCAGGCGTAGAGAATCTCATTTCCGGCCTCCCGCGGGACAGCCACAGCGATCTGGATTGCAGAGATTAGAAGGTGTACGAGCGAATAGCCAAGGATGATGCCATAGTTCTCTCTTTTATCACCCGTTGTGTCTATGATTATTATTTAATATTATTAATTTATATATTGTTCGTTTGTCTGTTGTTGGCTGTTGTTCGTTATTCATTAATCATTCATTCATTCATCTAATTCATTATTAGCCTGTTTTTATTGACCATACTTCGATTAGCATTTTATTTTGCGCACGACGAATTATTAGTTCTCCATCATTAAACGATGGACCGTCCAGTCGATCTTAGGTGGATCTATATTTGCCGTGCGAGAAATTGTTACGGATTCCCATAACACTGAAATCCACATGTAAGCGATGTTAAGCTCGCGTCAGCATCATTAGATATAATTTAATAAAAACCAACGCGTATTTGTACTTTGTCACATGGCGCTATTCGATCACATCAATAGTCTCGGACTTATAGGCGTCACTGTCATTAACCTCGTGGCGCCTGTCATTGCCAGGCAAGCGTAGTTGGGGCCCAATCGTGCGCGTTATCTTGCTTATCTGCGACATGCGGGAGTGCGCACAGCATTAAACCTATCCTGTGAGTCGAGAATGACCCGCCCTCACTTGACCTTCTTACAGAACGAGCGTTCAAGCGACACAGCAAGGACCTCATACGCAGTCTGGCAAAAGAGCTTACCACGCACGGCTCCAATTCAAGATGGCCGACAACGACGACGAAATCCCACGCAGAGCGCTCAAGCTTCGCGGACGGCGCAGCTTCTCGCAGCGCGTCGCTTCTCTCTCAGAGTAAGCCCTCGACATTGCTTTTTAAAGATGGAGGTCAGGAATGCACGCGTCGGCGCGTCATGACGGCGACGACCTGGCGGATATCCAGATACGAACGCGACGACTGTCATCACGAGTAGACTCCACGCTTCCGCGCGGTGAGAGCATACGCAGAAGATCGGCTCGCTGCGTCCGGAGCAGAGAAGAACACGAGGTTCGGGAATTTACGGAGCGACGGTCGGCGCATCACCCGCTCGGCTCCCACGGAAACTACGCGAACTGCGGTCCGTCGCCGTGCGACGAACGCACGGCAGGAGCACAAGTACGATCGCGGTTTGCACGCATTTCGCGCGTCATGAGAGCGGTTGCCTGACGAACCAAGTGCAAGAAGAACGCGACAATCCTCAGAATATGTCAGCTGCAGCGTACGGACACGCTTTAACTTACGCAAATGTCGTCAACGATTAGCACGAGAAAGATCGTCCGAATAGCTCCAGCTGACACCCATTTGAAGTCGTTCTGCTAGGCTCCTCCGACACCCGGAAAGTCTGTCTGTAGCCTCAGCCGACGCCGGCGGAAGTCGTCTGCTCAGCTTCTAGCCGACTGCCCGGAGTACGTCTGCTTAGCTCGAGGCGACGCCGGAAATATCAGTCTGCTTAGCTCAGGCCGACGCTCCCGGAAGTCGTCTGCTAGCTCAGCCGACGCCCGGAAGTCGTCTGCTAGCTCAGTCGACACCCGGAAGTCGTCTTCTAGCTCAGATGACTTCCGCTTTATTGACCCGCGTGGTGTTCCTGAGGAAGAGGAGGTGATGGAGCAGAAGGGGAAGGAGAAGGAGAAGGAGATGGAGGAGGAGGAAGAGGAAGAGCAGGAGCTGCAGCTGAGCGACTCGTGGACGTTCGGTAAGCCGGCGTCGGACAGGCGGCAGACGCGCGTGCTCGGCTCCACGGCCGGCCGCAGCCTCTACATTCCCGGTCTCTTCCACGACGCTCCGGTGGCGCCCCCTGGCGACGCCGACGCGAACGCCTTCGAGCTGGACGACGTGGTGTCGATGGACGGAAGCAGTTTGACGGACGAGTCGCCGGGCTCGTCACGCTCCAGCGTGCGCAGGGAGGCGGGATCAGTCCCAGCGGAGACAGGGTCTGCCGGTCAGGAAGAAGCGGGACGCCTCCCGTTGTCGTTGAGACAGCGACGGACTAGTGCCGGCGAGACAAAGCTAAACGTTGAAACTTTCGATGGAAGCGAAAGGAAGAAACGACCGAAGAGTGACTACGTCTCCAGCCGATCGCTCTTCCTTCACCAGAGGGCGCCGCCGACACAGTTAGACAGATCGAAGGGTTCCCAGCAGGTGTCAGCGTGGACTAGTACGTCTAACACTTCCCTATTGAAGCGCCTGAATTTTAAGAATCCATTTGGATTAAAGGGCGATGACACGGTGCCTTTCAAACAGGAGTTAACGTCTAGAAAGCATTTATCAGGCAAGGGCGGTTCCAGGCTTCAAAAATAAACCCATAAATTCTGCGAGTGCAACATGGTCCGCTGCAGTTAGTTCGATGTACATACTCACGGAAATTCATTACTTTGAACATACATATTCCAAACGCAGTATCCCAAATTTCCGTCAGTGTTGGGAAGAAGAAGCGTCAGTGTACACACCGCCATCGTTTGTCGGGTGTGAATCTCATTAAGGAATAGATAGAGGAGTTTGTGATTTTTCTCTAGCCTGTGATATTTACTCACTACTATACTGTGAACGGTTAGATACCCGTTTTTTTTATTGTGATTTTCCCGAGTCGCATATATTTTTTACAGGTAAAACAATCAATGAACGAAGTGGTCTTTACAGCAAAATAAGAATGTGAATAATTATTACTATCTAGTTAGCTAGCTTAGATTTACAAAGCAATGTGATTATAAGAACTGTGGGTAGATTGCAAGACCAGTAGTCGAGTGTGATATATATATATATATATTTCTACAATAAACAACCTATTATTTATCATGTATATTTTTGACAATGTTAGCTCATTAAACTGCTCATAAATTCTTTTAGACGTTAGCAGATCTTGGCTATCATTTCACACAATGAGATGCCACTGACAGCACATGGCAAGATAAAATGGCCCCATGGTTAGTCGGGTAGTGAGGAATGGAGCAATAAGGTGTAAGCCTCCAATGCTGCATTCTAACCACGAAAGCTGAGTGCAGGAAAAGCCAAGTTTTCTATTCAAACCTTTAGATTTGGCGCGGTTCCAGCACCATAACGTCTACATTTGTGATACCGGTGAGGTACGTGTCCGGATTCTACATAGCATATGTACACTGTACGGGAGATTTTTTAACACACACCACTAGAACACCCTGCCGATTGTTTATGCCTGGTAAAAGTAAAACACAGTTGGCAGTAGTCTATTTTTAATCTAGCCCATGACGTGATCTAGTTTATAGATGGTCTGTCTGTACGCGTAAAAATTGCACGTTTTCCGAAGTTTATATTACGTGTGTTATAAATCGTTTTAACTAGTTTTAATAAAAAGGTTGAAATCCTCAGTTGAAGTTGAAAATTTTTAGTCTGTATACTGTTGATTATGTTTAAAATACATCCTGGGGACATAAATATAAACTCATCGACACACTCCCAAATATATTCATAGATTTAAACAAATGATGCGGCCATAAAATTCTGCCACACACTGTATTTATACCAATAATGTATAATGTCGAAATTAAGCATTCAAGTACCATAAAAAACACGTACAGATGATAATTAAAGGAATCTATGAGATCAGCAGGTATAAAAAATACAGGCGTTGTTTAGTGTTCACAATCACAACGCTTTATTTATATCAGCTTAATATTTACACAACAAATCTTTCAGACTTAAAAAATCGCTAATCTGCTTTAAGATTTCTTCAAGTGCGCGTATAAAAGCCTTTCCCAGCACGAAGTATGTATTATGCGTAATGAAATCAAAACAATATTTACTTTAATCGCACGATCAAAAATATAATAACATTGTTAATGCAATGATACAACTCTCTTACGAGCACCATCTATCGACACGTTCAACCATCCGGTTTACCTCTTTCCTAACCCTTCCCTACCTCTGTAAAATTCCAAGGTCAGGTCAGACAGATACCCGATTCAGAGATTACCAAAGGTCAATCAGTATCAGCATAGAATTCGGTTTCCCGCCAAAACAATGACACAGTACTGGCAGAAGTCTGAATATGACTATAAAGCTGATGACCAGGTCTTCTCGACTCTCTCGAATAATTTAAGAAAGCGTCCCGGTAGAAAAGAGGTTCATGCAGCCATGATACACGCACGAACAAGCGTTATAACACAAAGATAGCAGTAAAAACCGACGACAAATTAAAGACGACAGATAATCTGACAGTGCTGTACAATTACCTCCCAACTTATACTCCCGCACACCTTCAGTTGCTCTTTCTGGTTAGATCCTAACACTTTAAAATAAATAACCCAGTGTAAATCAATTTAAAAGTAGAATTACCAGTGCATAACATTTTTCACGTTGGCTGCCGAGTAGGCAGGGTCTGTGAAAGGTATGCCAACGTTCATGGAATGTTGGAGAATGCATTAAGCCCTAGCAAGTTTCCAGGTTGCAAGCACTGTTAAGCTGCATTCCAAATCTTTGTCGACATTTCTCTACATAACTTAAAGTGGACCCTTTCATAATCATTACTATTTCCGTTTACTGCCGGTCGTGAACACTGCTCTAGATCTTCCCATTCCTTCTCCTTATCACATCCTGTTCTACTTTTCACGAGGCTCTTCTTACAGCATGCAGTATTCTCATAGGGTCTCGTCTCCATAACTAGACCATCGATGAGGTCTGCATGTGGGTACATTAAGCTAGAAAGATCAGTCGTCTTCTACAACTAGTTCAGACGTTCACACTAAAGCCAAGACCAAGTAAGATAGAGTCGAGTGAAAATGCTACGAATGACAGCGGGACACAGTGAGTCGAAGGCCACAGAGACCATATTTACACGTTAAATTCTAAAGAGCTCACAAACACGTTAAAATTCTCCCACCATAAGCAGACGTGCTTTACGGTAATTGTATCTTATGTAATAGAAAATGTTCTATGTTACAATCATACGTAACGTTCATTCAAGGTCTTCGTACGTAAGGTTTATACAACGACTTCATATGTAAGGTTCATCCAAGGTCACCATACAGTAGGATCGACATGGTGGCTGAAATTATGAAGCCACCGGCCTCACCTCCTATAAACAGAGGTATTAAAACCTAATACTTTTGATTTAAAATTCGTATGTGTAGTCCAGTTAGAAGTATAAAGTACATAAACAAAATAGTCATCTTTCATAAAAGCCCATTCAGAAGCCAGCGCTATTGACATCGCTCTATCGCTACTGCACAGCCACTACACTAAAGCACACCGAATCCAGCGTGCTGCGGCATGGGTCGCATACAGACTACATCCAACTCTGTAGCGAAAACCGACGAATGCTCGCCCGTTTAACTTTACAACTTTCGACGAATCGGGCTAATAAAACAAATCGCTCGAATTCTCACGCAGGCTCGATGGGCTGCGAATCCAACGCGAAATCTGTGTGATCGCCATGGTTACATCACTGCTGCAGTCATTAGCCATCTCGTTCTCTCCTCGTGAAACATCCGCGCAGTCTTTTGTCACGTTGACGCGCCGCACACTGCCGCCAGCGCCCTCTCACACGTGCGCTCCAGCGTACTGCCCGCCCGCGTGGCTACTGCCCTGGTGCATGTAGTTCATGTGATGACCGTCATACTGAAACACAAGAGCAGCATAGCAATTGCCACGTGTGCGCAGTTAAAGGTCGCGCCATGTAAGAAATGCACACATTTGTTGGACGATTCCTCCTACTAGGAAGTCCGAAGGAAACAAGCAAGACAACAACTAAATGTACAAATTCTCAAAACAATGTGTGAACCCAACAATCTGACGTGTAGCAGCCCAACAATGTGTTATCTTAGTTTACTAAACGATTAGTCAGTTTAAATATGTATGAAGAACAGAATTTTGCATTAATGAAATGAGTAAATAATTAATCAAGGCAGAAACAAACCATGCGTATATTTTAAAACCAAGTAGGAAAATTTTCTCATCTCACAATATTTCATTATTTCACGTGGACCCTCATCATCAACCTTCAAAGTCCAAAAAACTCATTGTTGCCCTCACGACATCAGGCAAAAATATTTGCAATAACATGTATCAGGCAATCCAATGTTAGCTTGAATTGGTTATATGACTAAACGGATAACATGCCCATCATATGCACGGCTTGGCATATGAGGGCAGGCACGGTATGGCACGATACATCACAGAGTCCCCTCCAACCCTGAACAACACTGCACACATGGCATCTATAGACGCGCCCATGCCCTGGCACCACACGCCAGTTACGCAGATTGGGTTATATTACAAACGCAAACAAAAAAAGCATTAAAAAGAACACAGGGCAAACGGGCAGCATTTGTGCCATTTCAAGCCCATCGTTTCCCTAACACGCTGCACCATGCCATTCCGCGCCGCGGTTAAACGTGCTAAGAATGTGTGGCAAATATATTTACATGACTTACGGCGGGAGGCGGGGAGTTATCGTCCGGCACCGTCGACGCCAGGCTCTGGTGACTCGGAGCAGACGCTTGCCCCGCCGCGCTCGCCACGCTGCAACACACGAAACCGACAGCGTATGTGTAATTCTGCGCATCCTTCAAACTAACCGTACTAAGGTGAATCAACACGGTAACGCAAATAACTGGTCTCCGGAAACAGACAGTAATTTGGAAGGGCGTTGAGGCATGTGGCCACAAAGATGGGTGGGGAGAAGCAAGAGAGAGTAAGAGAAGAGGCATGCAGGGTGGGAGAGAGAGGTGACACAGGCAGAGCAGCGTACTTACTACACAGGCTGTGGGTTCGAGCCTCCCACCAAGCTTCCGTATCGATTCTCCACCTCGGTCTGCCGTGGCAGGAACGGGTCGTCCTCATCCACTGCATAGTAACCACGTCTGCAAACATGTAAATCTCATGCGACAGGAGACAAACACACAGTGCCCTCCCACGAGTGACATAACACACGACAGGTGGCGCTACAGGACAGTCTTAACTAGGACCCTAGTCTTAACTGTTAACTACCTTTCAAAGATACGTTCCCGGTTGAACATTGCTGCCAAACACAGAATGCAGCAAAGAAGCTGTTTTTTACTCGTCTATTATAAGTACCGCAGGTGGAAAAAACGCACAGGAGTACGTGTTTATGCCAAGCACTGTGGCCTCAGAACGAACTCAAACAAATTCAAATTGCGTTTTTCATTACTGCTCCGTGGCAAACCTGTTACGTCAGCAATAACTATGTGTACACAGCAGTCACAGCTTACGACCACTTTCGCGGCGGCGAAAGCCTATTTCCGAGATGCTATTTATTTATATTCTGCACTTTTTTCTTCAACGCTAACATTCACTTATGGTTCCAGTTAATATTCATACGGTTTTTACCATTTGCTACAAAACTTTACGTGGGCACGTATATTTGACCAACCAGTTATAATATTCTTGTTATTAATATACCACGATTAAATCGAATGTCGTTTTAGAGACATACATTTAGAGAGCGTAGAGGATTTCTTTTCGATGCTGGGCATTTACAATTTCCACTTTGATTAAAATTCTGTTCATCTCGAAGGAAAACACATGTGAATCGAACTAAACTTTTTGACGAGGAAAAGAGATTGTAACTTTTTTCAGATGCAGCGAACTGAAACGCAGCTACAGTGCCGAAGGGACTGGACTTTAATAATGACGCTGAATTATTATTGGGCGAACAAATGATTTATATATGCGCCTGGTTTAAAAAAAGCTTGGCACTTTACTTCTTTTTCATTACCAGCCCCAACATACAATGGCACGCACGCATGCATATATAGCGGGCCACTGTATGAAACAAGCTATGACAACGACAATACAGAATTCACTGTGCATCACAAAAGCTCACTATAAATAAAGCTATAGCTGCATGCTGTGCATTAACTGCCCTTCCCCTGCTGCGCTATACTTCTCCCTTCCATACAAGAGCAATGCGCCTTCCCCCAGCACGCGGTGCCCCGTGAGGAATAACCTCTCAAATCAAAAGGAAGTACAAGCGCTAAGCTAAGCCACGGTTCAGTCTAATACCAGCTATAGGTCGCAATAACACGCAACTAACTAATATAAGCGAGAGCGTTGCGAAACGCCACTGCCTTTAGGCGCGCACGCGGGCTTGCTCGCTGACGCAAGTTTCCGTCGCCGCGGGCAGCCGCAATTTGCGCAAGTTAATTATATATCGCTAATTACAGCGGTGTGTAAAACTCCGCGAAAGAGAGGCGTGGAAATGCTACGTGGACGGTGCGAGGATGGCGCGGCAACGTCGATGATACCATGCAGAGCAGAGTTAGGCGATTGATTGTCCGTGCAGTGAGTAGTAGACAGGAAGCCGTAGTGGGCGAGAGAGGGGTAGAGTGATAGCAGTGGTAGAGAGAGACGGGGAGAGACAGAGACGGGGAGAGGGAGAGACAGAGACAGAGACAGAGACAGAGACAGAGACAGAGACAGAGACAGAGACAGAGACAGAGAGAGAGAGAGAGAGAGAGCAGACGAATGCGCTCGCGCGCGAGAGAGAGAGAGAGAGAGAGACAGAGAGAGAGAGAGAGAGAGAGAGAGAGAGAGAGAGAGAGAGAGAGAGAGAGAGAGAGAGAGAGAGAGAGAGAGAGAGAGAGAGAGAGAGAGAGAGAGAGAGAGAGAGAGAACGAAAGAGAGAGAGAGAACGAAAGAGAGCGAGAGACGCGTACAGAGACGCGAAACAATAGGCACGCACACGCACCAGTACGCTCGCGCTCCCACACGTGCGCACGCACGCACGGGCAAGCACGAAATTTCACAAGCCGGTCTCTAGCTTTAACTGGCTTCACACGCCAATTACTTCGTTCGCCGAGCAACGACACCAACCGCCGGCCGCACAATCACCAGTTGATAATTTTGTCATTACGTAAAGTAACCGCGTTTTTCGCGTGTGACCGACAATTTGCGAAATCATTTCCCCGGGGTCTACGGCGGCGATTACTGGACGGCGGGAACACACTGCGAGGGGGGGAGGCTGGCATAGCATCGCGCATTGGCAGAGATGCCAACACATATTTGAAGCAATCTGTAGTTTCTGGCCATCAAATTAGTAGTTCGAGGGTCATGTAGTGACACGAGTTTGCTAGGGGGTCGGGCATGCCCCCCCCCGAAAAATTTTTTGATTCTGAGATGCAATTTCCTGCATTCTGAGGGTCAAAAATGGCAATAAATCGACAAAAAATGACTTCTTTTTTTCCGATCACAGTGAAATTCGTAGTTTGATACAAACTGGTCGTAGTGGTGCAAAAGGATAGAAATTCGTATAAAATACGGATAAATCGTAGTGGTTGGCATCTCTGCATTGGGTACTAACTGTTATACACGCTCTGGCTCTCGCCTCTACGGGTTTTTTTCCAAGGGGGAAATATGAGTAAAGTCGGAGAACGAAACACGAGGATAATTTTGCAGCAGATTTCAACGCTCACGTATGATTCGCGAGTTGCAATCGTATCAGATTCACCGTCGAGCAGAAACGTAGACTGCTGGCCAGCGAAGCATCGAGCCAAATTAAGCCCCCCCCTATTAATGGTCCTCTGATCCTCAATCAGCCTGTGTCACGGTTGAATTACAACAGCGCAAAGATGTGCAGACATGCAGATATGCAGACGTGTGCGTGTGATCAGGACTGTCAGCCCACCAGCCAGTAATGACCAAGCTATACAGAGCACAAAGCAGCATGACCCTCCCATTAATGCCAGCTATACCGAGGGCAAGATTACTACTGGGCACTCTAAAGCTCCAAAGCACGGCTGCATAACGATGACGTGTGCATACAGGGGTGGGGGAAAACGAAGAATCTTATTCAGCGTAATGCTGTCTATTTCAACCGACTTTTGATCTTGAAAAATAACGGCGAAACTATGAGCTTTCATGTTCAACACTGGTGCGACCTTCACCATCTACAGTATTCTGCCGGTCATGTTACAAAGACAAGGAGGCCCACGTGCACCCTCTTTATATTAAAAGGTAATTTTAAATTTAAATTTTGACCCTACTCGAATTTTGCGTGGTTTCTTCTTTTTACGAAACGAACATGATGCCCACATCCGCAGTAAAAGCAGCTGTGCAATAAATCATTGTAATATTTCTTCAATTTTTTGGGACTCCATCGATATACATAAATCCAGTGGTTAACGAGAAGACTGAAAATTCCTTCCTCGCAATTTCCCTTCATAAAATTGATCGCTCTCTCTCTCTCCATTGCTTTGTCATTTAGCACTTTATTATTATGAAATGTGCTTCCCATTAACGTACAATACTTTAATTATGCTTGTTCTGCCAGCACCACCTGTTTCCATATTGATAATATTAGATATTAGTTATTTCATATTAGATATTTGATAGACAGCGAGAGTTAGGTTGAGTGACAGCGCGCGCGCGAGAGAGAGAGAAAGAGAGAGAGAGAGAGAGAGAAAGAGAGAGAGAGACAGAGAGAGAGAGAGAGAGAGAGAGAGAAGACAGAATGTAGGGCTGTGGCGGGAGTAAGAGGATATCAGCAGAAGTACTATAGGGATATACTATATCTATAACTATAGAGAACCTATTATCTACTTCTGATATAAGGGATATCAGTGTGCATTTAGATTAGTTTAATGTGATCTAACAGCACACGCGTGCAAGCACACGCACAGGCACGCACGCACTCACGCGCACAAAAACACAATAAGCTATTCTATAAAAAAAAGATTATCACACAGGAAAACCAACCTCTGCTTCTCCTCTTCATCACCACATCGAGAACTGGATGGAAAAATACCAAAAACGACATTTTACACGAGGAACAGAGTACCATTAAACAAGAATACAAATGATGTCACGCACACACCCACACGCGCACACACATAGACACACTCACCATGCACCACTGCCCACCTGCACGCGTCTTCTCTTCCGCACACGCCCACAGAAAAACATGTGAAGCGACTCTGTGATTGATAATCACAGCTAAACAAGCACACGTATACTCCAGCACCGCATACGATTCTTCCATCGATCTCACGTCAACAAAACAGAATTCCATCACCGGTTAATATGCATGAAATACCACGATGAAAAACACACGAACACAGGCTATATTGATTTGGGCAGTTAGTTTGTACTCTTTCAGCAACAACTGTACGAGTTTAGCTATAGTAGGGGTGGCGCCAGAGATTGCCCTACCACTGGGATTAGGAGTGTGTGTCTGTGTGTGTGTGTGGGGGGGGGGGGTTAAACTTACATTGCGAATAGGGTGCAAAGGCTATCTAAAACTAAGGGAAATCGGAACGCTATCCAAACTCAAAGGTTTTAAATTTCATCGTTAGGGTTTTTAGCAGGAAATGATGTATATATATCCGGAGTAGATAATAGGCCTATTATCTACTCCTGATATATATATATATCAGAAGATATATATTACTGATATATATATTTATATATATATATATAACTATTGATATATTCAATAACTACTAATAGCATGATAGGTACTAATATCATAGGTACAGATGTAAAACAAACCAGCCTTCCACCCCGCTGATTGCTTTCATAATATAAGTTACTGCGACTAGCGCAGCTATACAGACGAAGAGTGATTTTTTTAATAGACCGTTCCGAGAGATTTTTTGCCCAAAGGCCTGTTCTACCTCCCCTCTCTGGCGCCACCACCGAGTTAGAAAAGTTGTCAGCGTGTTATGTATTTATGCATTATTCTCATTTTCACACGAGTCCACTAGTTCGTTACTAATCGTTAAAAGCCACGTGCCAATTAATCAGGAAACGAGACAACTTTTGCCACCGAAAGCAACAATGCAGTCTAAAAATAACAGCGGAAGCTGCTAGTATACTGCGCAACACTGCATTCGACACTCGCATGCGCACATCGCACCGCGTACCGGACGCGGGCACGCGACCGGCAAAAAACATTCGAGTACAGTACACAATCTATTATCTGAAACCCTTGCAGACGTTTCAGAATTCGGAAATTTTCGGATTTCGGAATGGTAGTACAATACAGATATACATACCGTATATCCTCCAACTAGCCAGTACTAAAACCCAAGTTTTCAAGAGGCCAAGTGCTGTACCGGTACAGTACAATATGTATGAGTAATGCCAAACACATTAATATTTCTGCAGTGAACCTTGTGCAGCCAAACGCGAGCTTCAGTGTGCAGACGACCTCCACGAAAAAACCTTCGGGTTTCGGAGCTTTTCGGTTTTCAGAATTTCGGATAATAGATTGTGTACTTCGTCAACTCATGGTTTTTGTCGATCGTCACGTTGTCAACACGAACGTTGTCAACACGAACGTTGTCAACAAGAACGTTGTCAACACGAACGTTGTCAACACGACCGTTGTCAACGCGGACGGTGGCAGACGGGGGGGGCGACATCTCGCGTGCGCGCGGGGGGGGGGAGCGGCGACGGTGCGGGGATCGGGGTCGCAGCCAAGAGGCGTTGCGGTCCTACTTACTGCTTGTGAACGTTGAGCCAGGCCTTCGACACGATGCATATCATGACGGTGAAGATGAGGCCGGCGGCGGCCGCCGCCACCAGCATGAACGCGACGCCGACTCTGCAACACAAGAGCATCCACTGTTAGCGGGTTCGTCGGGTAGTCACGACAACCGCGCGGCTGCCCCGTGGATGCTTCCAGGTGGGATGAGGTGAGGTGGGGTGGGGGGGGGTATAGCCCCGGTTAACTGCAGAGATTTGCACGGCGATGTATCAGATGATCGTTAAACGGTAGAGATTTTATTTGAAGTCGTGGAAATCGTCAGCTACAGCCAGATCTGCAAGTCGTTCGGGGAGGTAGAAGACACGCGGCGTCACGGCCCGGCATGACACACGGGTGACGTCACCGCACGACATGCACGTGACATCACCGCCCGCCATGACACACAGGTGACATCACCGCACGACGCGCACGTGACATCACCGCCCGCCATGACACACAGGTGACATCACCGCACGACGCACACGTGACATCACCGCCCGCTATGACACACAGGTGACGTCACCGCACGACGCACACGCGACATCACTGCATGAAACGCACGTGACATCACCGCCCGCCATGACACACAGGTGACGTCACCGCACGACGCGCACGTGACATCACTGCATGAAACGCACGTGACATCACCGCCCGCCATGACACACAGGTGACGTCACCGCACGATGCACGCGCAACGTCACCACACGAAACGCACGTGACATCACCCTCCGCCATGACACACAGGTGACGTCACCGCACGATGCACGCGCGACGTCACGGCCCCGCACAACACGTGCACGACGCGGCACAGTTCGCCCGCGTACAGTAGGCGATCAGATGCTGGCGAGCGGCCGCATAGTGGCGCCGCAGCCTGAGGGCGGGACAGTGGCGCTGTTGATGGGGTGCTCGCACGGGGAAAGGTCACATGGGGGACGTGCTGAGACGGCGAGGTGCTTCATGATCGGTCTGCTGTTGCACCGCGGTGGCAAGTTCCGCAGCACACGCAAGGCCGTGCACGCCCGCGCCGTGGCGTTGAAGGTGCCCGCCGAAGGCTCGCCACGATGCCGGCTCCAGCTGAAACAAGCGAACGGTGGCGCGGTGAGTACGACGCGGAGCGGGGGCGCGAGCGTAGCGCTGTCACGCACGGACAGTCACGGAACACACGCACACCTGCGCACGCATGCCACGCATCACCGCTGCGCACACACTACGCACACGCACACGCAACACACACACGCACGCGCACGCGTTGCGCGCAGCCACGCCACGCGACAGACCGCACGCACGCACACAAACGGCGGCGGCCCTGTTCTTCTCGCCGAGGTCTTTATTATTATTGATTCTCATGCATTATTTATTTAATTTGCGCTTTTTTTACCAACGGAAATGAATTCAAAAGACGACTGCACGGCGAATATCCGCAAAGAGCCTAACAAAAACATACAACGATAATTTATGAAATTGCGTTGAGAGAAAGCACCACTCAGTCGGATCGCAGTAGAAAGGGCTCGGAGCCCGCGCGCGGAATTCATCGCCAGCGGCGTCTCTTAATTCGCGATCGTCTTCGTCGCGCCTAGGACGGGTCCGCTCTTGCACGAACGGGTTTCTGCCTGTGCGCGTGCGCCGACTTCACGTAGCTGCGAGTCAGCTGAGCACGTCTGGCGCGCGCGGCTCGGGGAACACACGAGACGGCGCGTCTAGCTACGGGGAGGCGGACTCACGAGCTGTAGTCACGCGAGAGATGTCGCACGGCAGTTGTGTCTCCGCGAAAGGCGACCCCCGCGGCCCAAGTTGTAAACATGTGTCTAGGGAGATTGTCATGAGAGCGTATTACCGAAGAGTGTCTGTCACGGGTGTGTTACGAAGGGAGCTGTAAACGTGTGTCTCACGAGATTGTCAGTTGGTGAGAGTGTTCACGCGAGTGTCAGCACCAGTGCTTGTTGAATACAGGGCGTGTCAAGAGAGTGTCACCCCGGTGAATGGTGTCAGGAAAGTTCATCACCAGCGAGTGTTGCAGACGAAGCGGGCAGTGTCACGATGCTGTCGCACAAGAGAGGCGAGCTTCACATGTCTGTGCGAGAGGAAGTGTCACATGGAACGGTGAGACATATGGAGTCATATGAAGTCGTAGGCTGCTGCTACTTGAGCCTCACTATCTTATACGTTCTACTCACCATATTCCCGTTCGAGCCTGTCTGTGGTTCGCTCGACTGAATAGGCGTGGATCACACACAGCGCTCACCGCCCTCGGCAGAGAAACGCATGCGGAGATGATCGAGCCTACTGGCCAAAGGGGGCAAACCTAATATCTGTGGCCCGTCAGCCCTCGGGGACCCACCGCCGCAACGACCACACATGCTGACAGTCGTGCTTAACACAGATAATTAGCACGCACTCCGCACCCACGAGCACGTAACGCAGCGCACACACGTACATTCCACGTACACAAAAAACACGCACGCCAGGCCGAATCAGCCACTGAAAAAAGCAGCAAGACCTCGCGCGCCGTTGTTATCATACGAAGCTGCTAACAGACTCTGATACGACCGCTGGGACGTTCAATCTCAGGCTTTAGAAAAAATCTTCAGAAAGAGCTTTGTTTCAGTTTCTTCTTCTTCTTCTTAATCTCCATGCGCGATCTTCACAGTGCGAGGAGAAGAGGTGAACAAGACGACGCGCAAAAGACAAAGGCACAAGTTGACGAGATGGCACAGCATGGTGTGTGGTGTGTGTCTAGGGCGGGGCGGACGATGAAGTTACATCGATGAAGCTTATCACGGACGCTCTCTATAAGCGCGCATTGTCGGCAGGTCTGTTCGATGGCTGTGGCTTATGGCACTCGTGGGGATGCTGCGAGTCGGACGGCAGTCTGCCAAATTACGTCGCGCACAGTCGCCCGCGCGTCGGCGGCGCGCGGCAATCAGGGTTCGCATGAGCCGTGGCGGATTAATATGATCCGCGAAATACTCTTGTTGCGCCTCTCTACTCTTCTCTCATCTTCTCTCTTGTGGTATGCGATCTCTCCCATCTCTCTTTCCGGCTTCTGCGCTCTCCTCAGCGCTAGAAATCTCGCCTCTAAATCTCACTATCACTCTCATCTCTCTCTCTCTCTCTTCTCTCTTCTCTCTCTCTCTCTCTCTTCCTCTCCTCTCGCTCCCTCTCTCTCCTCTCTCCCTCTTTTTCTCTCCCTCTCTCTCCTCTCTCCCTCTTTTTCTCTCCCTCTCTCTCCCCTTCTCTCTCTCCTATCTCCATCCCTCTCTCTCTCTCTCTCTCTCTCTCTCTCTCTCTCTCTCTCTCTCTCTCTTCTCTCTCTCTCTTCTCTCTCTCTTCTCTCTCTCTCCTCTTTCCCCCTCTCTTCCCCGCTCTCTCTATTTGTCGAGTGTCTCTTGGGGGACTGAGTAAATGGCGTGGCAAGCAGACCATGCATGACGTGTGGACCCTCGCATGCGATCTCTCACGGATGCGCGTTTACTCGCGGCTCTAACGGAAAGCCCATCGCCGGTAAACTGTATATGGCACCCTAATCGAAAGCCGACGAAATACACGTGGCAACGCGTTCGTAAAAGGATTTCAGCCTCGCGCGTTCGCATTTCCGATCGTAAAACGGACACTCCGCATCCGTCCCCAAAGCCCCTGTGCTTAGCGTTGCCGGGGCAACGAAGACAAAACAAGAGAGGGCTGCGGCGGAGCGAGTTGCGCAGGCGAACATTAAACAGGAGACGGAAGACTAAATTAGAGAGGTCTGCTTCTTTTCGCTCGTCGGTTTTTCATATGAATTGGATGCGTCGCCATCACCTCGCCGTTCGCGATTTTTGTTTAGCAATAAATCCGTCCGGACGTACTGCGCGCCCTACGGAGCTAGTGCAGGCCTGCTCTCTGTCACAATGCACGCACGAGCGCTCACACTCCGATCTTCTCTGGCAACTAGATTCAGTATATACTTACGACAGATCCTGCCATGTACAGGCCTGCCTGGCCCCAGCAGATGAGCAGGGTGAAGACAGCAAGTGCAGCAAACCTGTAACGCAAAGGGAGACCGTGTTGCGGGATAGCCAGCGGTAACGTCACCCCACTGTAAACACAGCTAGAGCAGAGATAAATATTTTTTTTATGACAGAGAGATTAATAATGACTCCACTACACTACACGCCATTCCCATTCAGCTTCGTCTTCACCCGACTCCACAATCCTCACCCTATCTCATCCCAGCCCACACACCATTGCCTCCACACCAGAACCGATCACACACCCACCGCACCCCACTCCCCTACCTGTAACGTCCCACCCAACCATGCAATCAACCCTCACTTTACCCTCCAACCCACACACAACTAGGGTATATCATATCCGGACACACCTCGCCCAACGTTATTATCCCTACACCTCAACTCATCCCCCCCCCAACCCCAACGGTGAACCTATTCCATCTAGACCTCGCGCCACCTTTTTACCCCTATACCCCCACCTCACCCTTTTCTCCATTCACCCCACCCCATCATGTTCTACCTACAACCCATTTCGGCCATTTTCCCCTACATCCTACCTCACCCTACTCCCCTCACCCGCCACCTCTTCCCCTCATATCCCCGCATAGCCACGCTCAGTGCCCGCACGTGCTTACACACTCCCCCATACACCCCCTGTCACCGATTCCCCTCACATCCCCTCATAGCCACGCTCAATGCCGCCGCGCATACTTACGCACTCCCACACACACCCCCTGTCACCTATTCCCTTCATAGCCCACCAAAGCCACGCTCAATGCCGGCGCGTACTTACGCACTCCGCCATACTGATACACCTCTTACTACGCCCCCATAAACCTACTATGCCCCCATAAACCTACTATTCCCCCACACACCCCTGCCACCTATTCCCCGCATAGACACGCTCAATGCGGGCGCGTATACTTACGCACTCCCCCCTACATCTCTTACTACTCACCCATACACCCCCTGCCATATCCCCGCATAGACACGCTCAGTGCGGGCGCTTATAGAGGGTTCCGCGATTTGCACTAAAAATAGCAATATTACCTACAATCCTGTGCCGTCGGCCATCTCGGTTCCAAAAAGAGCGAACACGTGTTGCGTGTAATCTGCCGATCTGCACAATCAATTCCGATTTTACATTGGCTATAGTGTTATTATATTAGCAGTAAGTGGATCCCGATTTCGCAGACAGGTTTATCAGCTGGGGTTGTGTTAATTGCTAGTTCGATGAGATTGCGCAGGCCCGGTTTTGCAAGCAGGTTTACCATCGTGGGTTTTAGGTGCGAGTTTAATGATGCTGCCACACAATCGGCAGATTCGTAGATTGAGCAGATCGGAAGATTGCACGCAACACATATGTTCATAGACTTGAATTGAGTTTGTTTACATCGTGAGAGTTCAGAAATTTCACCGATGTTACTGCATCTACTCTAGCTATCAAACGCAGCTTTTTATAATAGCTAGTGTATGCACGTTTGTCGACTGTCTGTAGTGAACGTAGTATGGATAAGTACTTTGATTCACTAGACAACGTAGCCAAAGCACGATATCTCGAGAAAATTGCGTGCATTGGGAATCGACGAGACCCGTACCAAATAGACAATGCCGAATGGAGTATGAACCACAATGTGTTCCCATCACACACCTATTTGAATCTCGTAAACTACCTAACATTCCAGCCGAGTCAATTTTATACTCTCAACTTCTCAAGGACTTTCACAACTACAAAAGCCTGGATGCCTACGATCGACTGTTCTGCGGTTGGGTTAGTGGTGTATCAGTCTACATCTATCATGTAAACAGTGAGAGTCCCATCTACGTTATCCGAGCACGTGTTACGCACTCCCAGTCTCTGATTATACCATCTCTCTATCCGTGCATGGGTCATGATGAGAGAATATGGGACAGGCATCATGTCATAGGTATCACACACGGTATCACACACACATATGACACAGGTATCAGCACACTGTAATTGTAAAGCCGGGCTTGGTGAATTCTGTTCACATGTTGCCTCGGTGCTATTTTATGTAGAGTACGGTATGCTGCGCGTGCAAGAGAAATCACCACCCCCACTCAACAGCTGCCTACTGGATGCCGGCGATATATGTATATAAGTGTAAATGTGTAGCGGCGTGCGGTGTACCTGTGTGTTGCAGAGGAGCATTTGACCGGCATTTACAGGTAATTATCGGCAATACAAGGCGAAAGAGAGTAGAGAAACATTGGTAGTAAATACATTTCGTGTTTATTCAGCATTGCTTTTTTATTGAAAATGCTCCAAACGTCTGTGGTCCGCCTGGTCTCTCGTCACTTTACCTTGTGTTAATTTGTGATCACGCTAGGCAGCCTAAAAAATCTGTGTGGCTCTCTCTGATACCGATTGCTGCAGTCTGCGCACACCGCATGAGAGCGTCGTTGTGATGGATTTGCTTAATAGGCGAATAAAATGGCAGAAGATGCGTTGCTCAATGTACTTGTATACCAGGCTGAACTGGTTTCTGGAACCCTAAATGCCGGCGGCATTGCATTGTGGGTAATATGAAAAATCGCGGAACCCTCTATACTTACGCACTCCCCCATACACCTCTTACTACTCACCCATATGATACACCCCCTGCCATATCCCCGCATAGCCACGCTCAGTGCGTGTACGCGTATACTTACGCACTCCCCCATACACCTCTGACTACTCACCCATATGATACACCCCCTGCCATATCCCCGCATAGCCACGCTCAGTGCGTGTACGCGTATACTTACGCACTCCCCCATACACCTCTGACTACTCAAAAAAAAAACAAACAAAAAAAACCCCATATGATACACCCCCTGCCATATCCCCGCATAGCCACGCTCAGCGCGTGTACGCGTATACTTACGAGATGAGCATGCCGCGGGAGGTTCCGCGCGCCGAGCGTCCGATAGCGAGGAAGACGAGCACGCACAGCACGATCTGCCACCACTGCAGACACATGTTCGTCACCCACCTGCGCGACGAAAATGAAAGCAAACACACGTCACCACCGCGCGCAGTCACACGTCGCAGCGCGACGCGAGTCACCGGCCAGGCGACATCAGCGCTGGAATGCACGTGATGTCACTGCTGGGATGCACGTGATGTCACTGCTGGGATGCACGTGATGTCACTGCTGGGATGCACGTGATGTCACCGCTGGTATGCACGTGACATCACCATGGAGATGCACTCGACATCACAGCTGAGCTGCATACAATTTCACCGGCGGAACGCACGTGATGTCATTGCTCGCTTATACATGACACCACTGATGGGCTGCACACGTTACCACTGCTGGGCTGCACGCGACGCCATTGATGGGCTGCACGAAACGTTACCGCTGGGTTGTATGCAACTCCAAAGCGGGGGATGCATGCGACGCCACAGCTGCATGCCGCAATGCAACGTTTCAATATCTGATTTAACCGAGTTCCAGCAACTAATAATTTCCTTACGTACGTCAGACATTAAACAAATTCATCGAAGGGCGACTGAAAACGAATTCAGCATAATGTTAAATCGTAAACTACTTCCGCTGGCGTTAACTATAAACAATTTCACTTAACCTCGACTTTTAAACAAACTCCCATGACATTAATGTTGAAGCACATTTTCATTAGTTGCCAGACCTTTAAACAGATTTTGCAGACATTACCAGCACACTGCATGCTGTCGCAACAGCTAGCACAAATACCCACTCGAGAAGAATACCCTGTAGACTCACAACCAACCTCCTCAACAATCTAATGCCATCAATGTTGAATGTCAAAGCCTTTGCTTCAATGGCCAGATGGCAAAGAAATTTACTTAACATCGACTTTAAACCAATTTGCCCTAATGCCAGCATTGAACGAACTCAATTCACCCAACACTGACATTAACAAATTCTCCTAACATCGACCTTGAAAGAACTCCCATCTCGAATGTAAAGGAAACACCGTTCAACGTCGACTCTCGCCCAATTCACCCAATTATTATACGAATTCTCCCAATGCCAACAGTGAAAAAAAACTTCTACTTGAAACATAAAGAAGTGCCCGCCGTTCGACGCCGACTCTGTGTGTATATGCCTAATGTTACCGGTTACACAAACTCTACCTTCGATTCGAATTTTTACGTCGACAACACTAACAAACTCTGCCTCCCCGCGCATCTCACCTGATCTTCTCGCACTGGCGCGTCTCCTCCGGCACCTTATTCAGGTCGACTCCGGCCGTCCGGTTAGCGACGACGTCCAGCCGGCTGACCATGCTGTCGACCTCGCGCGTCATGAGGTCGAGCTGACCGACGAGCAGGTCGGCCACGGTGGCGTTGGCGATCGGCCGCTCGAACAGCGTGCGCAGGCCGCGCACGTCGGCGCCGATGTCGTCCCTGAAGAGGCTTCTGAGGTGGAGCGTCTGCACGAGGTAATTAACAGACGCCACGGTTACTACGGGACGTGGGGGGGGGGTGATGCGGGTAGCTCGCGATACGATCCGTCCCACGATACAGCCTTCGTGGTACGATTCGTACTATGATACAACCTTCACGGTATGATATGTATTACGATACAGCCTTCACGGTATGATATCAAGAGCGTATAAAGAAGGCTTCTTTATACGCTCTTGATGATATGTATTACGATACAGCCCTCGTGGTATGATACTTATTACGATACAGCCTTCACGGTACGATATATACATATTACGATACAGCCTTTACGATGCAAAGGCTGCTGTACACTCGACCACTGGGACTCTACCGATCACGTGACCGCTACCGGATTAGTGTCGTGGCGCGCTTAGTAATTAACGACTGCTATGGAATTGCGAATTAAGTCATTCTTCTTCTTTTTTGATGAAACTACGCTATTAATGATATCGATTTTCTATTCAGTAGTGTATCGATACGTGTATCATCGAGTTTTGTATCGTGATACTTCGATATATCAATGAATCGCCTCAACTCCTAATGATTAATACTACATGCAGGTTCGACACCGCACCCGCCATAGTTTTCACACTTCTGCGAGGGGTGGCAGTTTTTTAATACGCTAGACATGGTTTTGAGATTAGCTGGAGCTTAAGTGGTCTAAATAAGTTGTCTACGATTGGCCATGCAAGCAGGGTTAACAGTTATTTTTCAGTAATTTACATAGTTTTCTAACCAATCCTATTTCATACAGACGCAAGTAAACTAAACTCAAATCAATATCCATGCGTGTGTGCATGCGTGCTCTCATATTTTGTCACGAACATACATAAAAGGATTCATCGCGCCAATACAATGCAATTCAATTCAATGCAATGCAATGCGATATAATACAATACATTATTACAATACAGCTCACTCTATCATCCCATGCAGGTATCATGCTACGGCCGGCTGCTGCTGTTGCCGCGAGCTGACAGCAGCAGCAGCAGCAGCAGCAGCAGCAGCAGCATTAGTGCAGCAGCAGCAGCTGCAGCAGCTGCAACAGCAGCAACAGCAGCAGCAGCAGCAGCAGCAGCATCCGCATCAGCTGCAACATCAGCAGCAGCAGCAGCATCAGCAGCATCAGCAGCAGCATCCGCATCAGCAGCAACAGCAGCAGCAGCAGCAGCAACATCAGCAGCAGCATCCGCATCAGCTGCAACAGCAGCAACAGCAGCAGCAGCATCAGCAGCAGCATCCGCATCAGCTGCAACAGCAGCAGCAGTGCAGCAGCATCAGCGGCAGCAGCAGCAGCATCGGCGGCATCAGCATCAGCATCAGCAGCAGCATCATAATCATCAGCGGCAGCAGCAGCAGCAGCATCGGAGGGATGAGTTATGAAGCTACTGCGCTTCGAATCCCTCGTTGCGACTCGCGATCGCCCGATGTGATTATTCATAACGCATCGATCCGTTTCCGCGGCAGCGATGGCGCGGCTCCTATAGCGGCGCCAGCATCCCTCGGCGTCTGCCGTCGACGCCACTCGCATCGCCTGCTCATTCCACGGCGCGCTAATTACATTGTTTAATTACACATCCAACACAAAATATTCGACTACTCATTCCCCAGCCTCCACGACCGTCCGCCCACCTTCATTTCTTGGCTCGCTAGCATGGCATCATAGTGGAAAACAACAAGGAGTAGTTGACGATGGGACACCAACAGTAGTGGACTGTGTCACGTCACCAGTAACGGCCCATGTAACGTCACCAGTAATGGACTGTGTGACGTCACCAGTATCGGTCCATGTGACGTCACCAGTAGTGGACTGTGTGACGTCGCCAGTATCGTCCCATGTGACGTCACAGTAGCGGCCCGTGTGACGTCACAAGTAGTGGACCATTAGACATTGTGAACAACGTTTAGCAGTTCCGTGGATGCATGGCGAACCATCATGCAGTCAGACCAACGACAAAGCCCCTAACAATGACCTCGCTCCCGCTGCTAACAAAAAGCCGGCCCCATTAAAACTACACTAGTGGTGACTCACAAATTACACTGCTAATTATATGAAAACAGCACCGTAGTGCTGGCGGGGTACGCACGCACGCACGCACGCACGCATGAACGCATGTGCGCACCACCGTGAATCTAACGTCGGATGGATGACTCATGGTCATGGCCGTTTAATCGGTTGGTAATTTTTCGACACGGGGATGAATGCTGTTTCCGCTGGGAGAGAAGTAGGGCTGAGAGGGTCTATGTCCCCCGGGGTACTGCCGGAACGTACCCTGGGTACGAATCGTAATAATGCTCGTAGACGCGTGACCTCGCCTACTCCCACTAACAGAGAGTCATAGGGAGTCGCCTAACGCCGTACTCCCTAACCCTGAACCCTAACCCTGAATCCTAACCCTAACCCTTAATCTAAACCCACTAAACCATATCAAATAGTGACCAGGGTACTGTCCGGTAATACCGACCGTACCGCAGGGTACGTTTCGCCAGTAAACCCTGGGGCAAATAGACCGTCTATGAGTCAAAGTAGGAGTAAGGGGGAACACAGGAAGGAAATATCTCAGTGATTCACCTTGCACGTGCATTGGGTGCCACACGCCGTAGCAAACGACATAAGACTCCACTAAAGCCATCCCATGAGGCGGAGACGCATGCACGGTACGCATGCACGACGTCTACATACGAACGCATTGCACCAGCCTCCGGCACACACGCACAGCACGCCGAGAGTCATACCCACAATCGCCATCACATACCAAACGGCCATACTCTCCCCAGCCATGCAGACCACGATCGAAAGACTCGCGATAACTTGTCCGCGAAGCAAAAAGCGTCACTGAGTGTGATTTTTTCCAGTTTGTTCAATCTGTCAGTTTCAAATTCTCCGTAGAATTCGTCCGTAAACGTAACTTGAATGCCAACTACATCTCCGTTCCCGACTGTCCCCTCAACCACCCTTTAAAATTTAATTTAGCACGCAAAAATCGCCCAGCCGGCTCTTCGGGTCGCAGGTTGCGAACGTTCCAATTTCGCACGCACTGAATTCGAACGCGAGCCGTCGCTTTGACGTGATGCACGCATCGTTTACAGCCCTAAGACTCGTAAGTCGGCGATAGAGCCAGATAAGTCCCCGATAGAAACTGACAGTCCGATACGACGCGAAGGCCGCTATAGTACCGAAGGTCCGATAGACCGAAGTTATGTGTGTTAAGGTGTAAAAGATGAATGTTTCGGAAATCGCATGGCTACTGCGTTCAAACTACACACATCACACACGCACCGCACTGCACGCCAGCGCAACGCAAACGGGACTAACACGCAATGCACACGGACGGTTCCCTCGAGGCTGTTTGTCAGATATCACGCACTGCATGCACACACATTCGGTCGTGCGCACACACAGCACGCACGGCGCACTACGCACACATCAGCACACACTCCACCTCTCTTATTCTCTCATACATTCCACGACATCGCAACACGCAACGCGCACGCACGCTCACTGCACAGACACACACTACACACAAACACACGGACCTCCTCTCTCACACACACACACACACACAACATACACTACACACCCACACACGACACACACCTCCTCTCTCTCTCTCTCTCTCTCACTACAGCACACATGAAACACGCACTTACGCACACACACACACACACACACACACAACAACACACACACACAGCCACACTACACAACAGCACAAGCGCTGCGCACATACCCCCACACGACACAACACCTTCTCTCTCTTTGCTCTTCCTCACAGCGACAACATGTCACAACGTGTACTGTGGCACGAGTCACAGCACACACGGCACACCGAAACGCACGTTACACACCAACAGGTGTACGTGCACTACGACACGTGTGCAACGCCAATGTACGTACACACGCACGCACGGCACAGTGCACGACGCACACGCGCAGACACACTACACACATGCACACACACACACACACACCACACAATGGTCAGCAGCACACACCATCTCTCACACACACTCACACATCCGCACGCGACGCACACCACTACATCACACACACGCACACCCATCACACGCACAATCTTCACACACACCACGCGACGCACATGCAGCGCACACGCCGTGGTGGTAAACGTACACACGTATGCACGCACGTGTATGTTTGTACGTGGAACACGCACGCACTGCACGTGTACGTGCACTACACACACAACAACACGCACACACGCAGCGCACGTACAGTCACGCTACGTGTACGTGCACACAGCACGTGGCACGCCTATGTACGTAACACACGTTCACGCTAAGCACGTGTACGCTGCACACGCAACGCACACGTGCAACACGCGGTCACGCAAGCGCATCACTGGCAATGCACGCACGGCACGTCACGTGGGTTCTATAAGGTCCCTTTTCAAATTTCGGTCTATTTGCGACCTTTGTCGTATAGGTCCTCTTTTCCAAATATTCGGGTCTATCGGACCTTCGGGTCTATAGTCCTGTTTTCATATTCGGTCTATCGGACTCGTTCGTCTATCGGGACCTAGTCCTATCGCCCTTCGGTTCTAATAGGGTCGGGCCCCCCACGCACAATCACAGGCACGTTGAGCGATTTTTCAATCAAAATATAAAGTTAAATAAATACGAAACTCTATTTTACTTTACCAAGTCTTAGATGTGTCTATATCTCGTCTTTCACCTATTAATGCCGACCAATTTCCTGCAAAAATGCCGTCTAAATGCTCATGCTCAACAAATCCTGCTGCCGCATAGGCTGCCAGCTGCACAGCTAAACACATAACTATATATTCCATCGTGAACAAACTGTTCGAGCACATTTCTGCGTCCAATATCGACGTCTATTCGCCGTGCCGCTGTTACTCGCGAGCAAGGCTGCAGCGGCACCAACACAGCCGCGACAACAACCGACACGCGGCTTGGTCACAGTGTAACGTAGGAAAGGCATTGCTCACTGATGCAGATGGGGTCGTTGTCGTATGCAGGTACACAATATTCCCGGAGGTAGTTTATAGGTTGCTTAGTATTATGTTTATATGGTTTTATACGAATATGTTTAGGTTAGGGTTTAGGGTAGGGTTAGTGTTAGTGTAGGGTACACCTTCTGTAGATCAAGTCTGGTACAGACTTTGTGATACAGTATATCAGGCTCGGACACGCTAACTTGTTTTTTCTCAGTGGCCCGACGGCGCTCACCAATAATCATGGATGTTTACAATTTTTGGTGTTGCCCGAAGAGATGTAAATCTGGTGCCTCGAGAAAAAAACAAGAGAAAACACATAATCTTTATTGCTCAATCTCTGTATGATATCATTTTAGAAAATTGGCCGTCTGATGCACTTGCACAATCTTTAAAACAAACCCCCACACAATGGCACACACTGACAATGATGATTGAGGCAATACATTTTGAAATTACCATTCCACGGCATCAAATTTTCCGCCAAGAACATGCATAGCCATTTCTACTTTCTACTCATTATTGTATCTAAACATCGACGCGGCGTGCAGCAGCCGATTCGATCAGTTACAGTCGTTTCAAGAAGATCAAAGTCAGCAGAGGGCATG